TACCTACCCCCTCAAAAAATGGGGCCTTTAAATTATGTGCAATTAGAATAAAAACTCCATTTCTTACACCTCTGAGTTTGTAGATTACATACATATCCCTTATATTCATTGCTACAAATAATGAGTGTTTTACTATAATAGCGAGAGAAAATAATTCATATTTTGGGGATATAGTTCTCTGATGTTAGTGGCTTTAGAAAGGAGTCTGTACAACAGTGCTTCTCAACCTTACTGTATATGCTAGTTGCTTGGGGAATCCTTTGAAAATAAAGCTTCTCATTCATTAGGTCTCAGGTGAAGCCTGACGATCTTAATTTTTAACTAGCTCTCCAGTGATGCTGATGCTGCCGGTACAGGGACCACCCTTGGGAGTAGCGAGTTGTTGAGTATACTGGTAAGATGATTACACTACATTTTGACTAGCACTTTGTCAAATAAACACAGGGTGGCGCTCCTGCTCCCAGTGTACCATAGATCTATGGTCCAATATTAGACTCCAGTTTAAAATAAAATACGGGGGCACCTGGGTGGCTCAGTAGGTTAAGCAACCAACTCTTGATTTCAGCTCAGGTCATAATCTCAGGGTCTCCAGGATCGAGCCCCACATCCTGCTCTGCACTCAGCAGGGAGTCAGCTTGAGATTCTTTCTCTTCCTCTCCCTCTGCCCCTCCCCCTGCTTGCACGTGCTCTCTCTCTGAAATAAATAAATCTTTTTAAATAAAATACAAAATGAATATAAGCAACGAAGAAAGTTTATGTAAAAGGAAAGTTGAATGTTCTAAAGATCTCTCAAAGACAAATAGCTAAAATAAATTGCACCTGGGGTGCCTGGGTTGCTCAGTCGTTAAGCATCTGCCTTCGGCTCAGGTCATGATCCCAGGATCCTGGGACCGAGCCCCACATCGGGCTCCCTGCTCGGCGGAAAGCCTGCTTCTCCCTCTCCCACTCCCCCTGCTTGTGTTCCTTCTCTCGCTGTGTCTCTCTCTGTCAAATAAATAAATAAAATCTTTAAAAAAATAAATTGCACCTGAATTAGAGGCCAAAAAAACATGTAAATAAGGAGGAAACCATGAAACTATGGATTCTAAACTTGGATTCCTTTGTAAATGCTTTAAGTTCACAATTCACTTTTTTTTTTCCACAATCCACTTTAAAGACACTTGCATTTGAGATCTTAAGACCAGTGGTTCTCCACAGGGCATTACTGACCCCTAGGGGTAGTTTTGGAAACTCACGGGGCATTTTTGGCTGGGTTTCACAACTGGTCCTTAGTGGACGAGGCACAGGGGTGTGAGACATCCTGTAAGGAAGGGCCTGCACAACTTTGAAAAGTCTCACTGAGTACTTGTATAGGTAAAAAGCTTGCTTTTCCCCTCAAGAAGGTGGGCTTCACATAATTGACTTCCTCTCAAGGAGCACAGGATGGAGAGGGAGTCGGCGGAGATTAACTTCACAGTGGAGAAACAACAAAAGCCACTCAGCCAAGTAATCAAGCTTCCCATCATCAGTGATACATCGTGTTGATAATCTGCACCCTTGATCAGATGTGATGAGAAGGGCCCTTTACCTATATAGGCTTTCTCCTAAAAAACCATAATCCCAGTTTCATCATGAGATTAAAAAAAAACTCATATTAATAAAATCCCAACTGAGAAACACTCTGACTAGTCAGCACTCCTCAAAACTATCAAATAACAAGGAAAACAAGGAAAGTCTAAAAAATGATCACATTCTACAGGAGTCTAAGGTGACATGACGACTAAATGTAATATGGTGTCCTGGATGGGATCCTGTAACAGACAAAGGAAAGTAGCTTAAAACTAAGAAAATCTGAATAAAGTATAGACTTTGGTTAGTAATAATGCATCAATGTAGTTTCCTTAGTAGTAACAAATGCAGCATACTAATGTAAGATTTTAAAAAATAAAGGAAATTGGGTCTGGGGTATATGGGAACTTTGCATCATTTCTATAAATCTAAAACTATTCTAAAATTTTTAAAAACGTAAACTACAATTTTCAACTAGTAGTTAAGTCCTGGATATCTAATGCACAGGATGGTGATTATAGGCAAAAATACTGTATTATAACCTTCAAAGTCACTAAGAGACTAGATCTTAATTCCCACAAAAAAAATTTTTTTAAGATTATTTGAGAGAGAGAGCACGCACATATGCAAGTAGGGGGAGAGGCAGAGGGAGAGGGAGAATCTCAAGCAGACTCCCTGCTGAGTGCAGAGCCCGACGTGGGGCTCTATCTCACCCTGAGATCACAACCCGGCTGAAACCAAGAGTCAGACGCTTAACCAACTGAGCCACCCAGGCGCCCCAAAAGAAATATTTATGTGACATGATAGATGTGTTAGCTAACTCTAGTAATATTTCAATATATAAACGTATAAATGTATACATTAAACTTACACAATGTCAGTATTATTTCAATTAAAATATTATAAAGCTACCTTTTTATTATCTGAGCCTAGAACGCCTATATTACTTGTTACTTATATAATTTTAATATTCACTAGGGACAAACTATCCTACTAACAGAATTTTATTCTTTTATTCAAAACTTTAGCAAGAATTTGATCACCATTTTGGAAAATGACATTTCCAACAGTAACACTATTCATGTTTTTTGAGTAGCCAATAAAACTGTTACCAATACACACTATATATGTAACCTTATATCTCTTCATGAATCATGAATTCAGTCTTTATTTTAAAATACGCTTAAAATAACGCTACTGGTAGCGTTAACAGTACTTGACCGAGCAGTTTTACTTCTCCATATTTAAGAGCAAGCACCTACTTCATTGTTTTCCAGTGTAGTAGTATCTGGGCATTTATATATTGAAATGCATATTTTATTACAAATTGATTTCATTTCTCCATTACGGTAAAGGCACTGGACTGACCTTTTCTGAAATTGTATAGGTAGGTGAGTTATGTATGAATTTCATTTTAGGATACTGGGTGTGATCAAGGTTACAAATGTTCATGTTATAGTAAAAAGGGTCTGCTAAGTCTGATAAGGTTGAGAACCCCAATCTTAGACCAAGCTCTTCAAGGGCAGAAAATGTCTGGTTTCTTACAGGTTCTCAACATTTCATTTCACCCTGTTGCAGTTTGTTTATGCCTGCTCAGAAGCCCTTGTTTGCTCCTCCATTTTGGCAGTCTCAGTTCTGAACTAGTGCCCACCCTCCTGCAGGCAATTGGAGTAAATATGACCCCTCTAAGCCAGAGTGGTCCCATTCCCTGTGCCAGTGATTAGACACAGGCAAGTGAGCCAGACGTAGTCAAGATACGAGGGGGATTCTGCTGAGGAGCTCTGGTTAAGGTTTTATAGTCACTAAAGGCACAAGAGGAACAAAAGTTCTTTCACTGGACACCGTTGGATTATACATAACACCTGGAATCATGGTAGGCATCTCTGATCATGAATATTATTAGCTCAGAAAGAAAATGCTGAGAATGACAGGTTGGGAAGGAAGGAAGGCAGGGTTCTTGGTATCTCTGAACCCTCTATGAATCCAGAGTTGGGTCTTTTCTCACGACCAGCAGGAAGCATCCTAATATAACCCATTTCACAAGCAGTTGTGTTGCTGAAGAATACATGTACACACTGTGCATGCAATCCTGCTCAGAAGGCGATGTAGGGAAGCCACAGTAATTCTCTCTCAGCCATCGGCGCCTTCATTCAAACCACTGTATTGTAACTGAGTCCCAGGCTTAGCTGTGAAGGGCTCACAGGAGACTGCTTCTACATGAACAGTAAGCCCCACAGTCTTGTGGTCCAGTCATAGAAAACAAGAAAACCTTGTGCTCTACTACACTCTTTCATATCACCACTTCTAAATAAGTTAATTGGGAAATAAGTGATTTGTCCCAATCCTTCGCCTGGTGATACAATATACATCGTTTCAATGCACACAGAGATGAATTTAAGGAATAAGCAAGGCCTTTTGACAAGTTTTACTTAGCAAGTAGAGAAAGCTTTTTTTTCCATAGAAATAAGGTTTAAATATCTATGGGTTTTTTTTCTTTTCTTTAAATTTTTGTTACGTTAATCACCATACATTACATCATTAGTTTTTTAAAAATTTTTTATTGTTATGTTAATCACCATACATCATTAGTTTTTGATGTAGTGTTCCATGATTCATTGTTTGTGCATAACACCCAGTTCTCCAGGCAGAATGTGCCCTCTTTAATACCCATCACCAGGCTAACCCATCCCCCCACCCCCTCCCCTCTAGAACCCTCAGTTTGTTTTTCAGAGTCCATCCTCTCTCATGGTGCGTCTCCCCCTCCGATTTACTCCCCTTCATTCTTCCCCTCCTGCTTTTTTTTTTTCTTAACATATATTGCATTATTTGTTTCAGAAGTACAGATCTGTGATTCAACAGTCTTGCACAATTCACAGCGTTCACCATAGCACATACCCTCCCCAATGCCTATCACCCAAACGTCCCATCCCTCCTACCCCCCCAGGTTTAAATATCTATGAATCTAATCACCCTCCCACTTGATAATTCTAGTACCTAACATGTGAACTTGGTCTTCACTGGTTCCCACGACTCACCTTTTGATATTTGGTTTTTCTTCTTTGTACTTTTTCTACCACATTCCTTTATCCCTATTTACTCTTTCCCCTTTTTCCACACTTCCTTATCCATAGAAACTATCTGTTTTGCAGGACAGAATTACAGCTTCCTGGTTCAGAACGAGCCTGCAAGCCCTTTCAAATCATTGCAGGTTTTTGTTTTTTTTAAAAGATTTATCTATTCTAGATAAATAGATGAGTGGGAGGGAAGGGCAGAGGGAGAGAATCCTCAAGCCGACTCCGTGCTGAGTGCGGAGGTGACTCGGGGCTCAATCCAGGACCCAGATCATCAGGACCTGAGCTGAAACCAAGAGTCGGATGCCCAACCGACTGAGCCACCCAGGCGCCCCATTTCAGGCTCTTTTAAAAAGAATATGCTGGACAGTTCACAAATGAAACAGTCTTATTTGAAATTTTATTTTATTTCCATCTGTAAGTACTGCTATTTGTTTGAATTGCTCACATAGTCTGTTCTATCCAAAAAGGAAATGTCAAGTGCTTCTAGCAGTGTAAGCACCGTCGACACAATCTACCCAAAGGTCTTCCGAAAATCTAAATGTTAGGCAAACCACAAACTGGATGTTATTTCTCTGGGCCATGAGATTGTCAAAATCAGTTTGATTTTTTAAAACCCATCAAATATCAATCATGGCAAGGAAGACCATTGAGCTGATTCCTGATAATTATGTTATCACTGAACATCATTTATCCTAAATGATTACTGGCATCAGGAAGACCTTGGGGTAGGGGCTCTTCACGAGTGACACAGGCACGGCTTGCCCAGGAATTAGCAGGTGTCCCCAGAACAGTTGTGTGCTACAGACTTCCTCTGCTGTTCCTTCCCTCTCCGCAGTGCTCAGGCCCTACGTCTGAGAGGACAACGTTCAAACTCGCCAAAAGTTTTCACAACAGAGGCGAGTGGAGGAGGTCTTGTGAGGTACTCATTTTTGAAGTGCAATCTAAATACTAAAAATGAGAATCAGATCTCGAGTACTTGAGCCTATTTATATTGCCTCAATTCATTAAAGTTATTTTACATGTCTAGTCTGCCTTCTTTCTCACAGGATAGAGGATAGCTGGGAGGATTAAATGAGATACAGTATGTGACAGCCTAGCCCAGTGTCTGTATACCCAGTAAATATTCTTCCCATCCACTGCCGCATCCCCAAATAAAGAGGTTAGTCCTTGAACTTTGAAAGTACTTTGTAAGTAAGAAGAAATTAGTTTTGCTGTCAACATCCTTGTCAGTCTGATTCTGACTTGCTTCTCTTTTGTAAAATAAACACTTTATACTATTTGAAGTATACACGAGGTTTCATTTTTGTTCAGTGTTCTTTACTTTTCATTGGGAAAAGTTATTTCTGAGGAATTGAAACCCCCGAAGGTAACCACAACAAAAACTTGTTAATTTTTTTTTTTTTTTTGAGAATGATGATTCAAAGGCAGACTTGTAGAGAAATCATATTTAGGAGAAAGAAGGCAAATGCAGCCTCTGAAGGGAACTGTTCTAATTATTACCTTAAAAAGTAAAGTTTTTTAACTAAATTCAAGGACCTAAGACAAAGCACTACTTTAAAATCACAATGACTGAACAGTTAGGTGAAAAACATAGCTGAACTAGGAAAGGGGAGTGGACTTCAGAATAATCTTAAATTGGGACAATGATTCTTCAGTCCTAGATGTTTCTGTTATCTGAATGTCCTGAATCACACCATTTCCTTTTTTACTTCCCACAAGGTCTTCACTGAAATTGCAAAGCAGTATTCTCACAGAACTAAATAATAGTTGTCATTTTGTTAGGATTCAAAATTTCAATCCAGTAGCCATCAGGATCTTGGATAAATGCCAGGCCTTTCATTTTACCTGTAAGATGAAATGAATTTCATTATAAAAGAGACTTTTTAAAAATTTAAAATTAATATATATATTAGTATATATATTTTAAAGATTTTATTTATTTGACAGAGACACAGCGAGAGAGGGAACACAAGCAGGGGGAATGGAAGAGGGAGAAGCAGGCTTCCTGCAGAGCAGGGAGCCCGATGCAGGGCTTGATCCCAGGACCCTGGGATGGGATCATGACCTGAGCCGAAGGCAGATGCTTAACAACTGAGGCACCCAGGCGCCCCTAAAATTAATATTTTTTATTAATCCAATTGTTAATTTGCATTTTGACAAAGTACATTATTTTGTTTATAATTTTAACTTTAGACAATTCTATTGTCAGTGTTGCCCAAAGGCATGCTTTTCTGAATGACTAACATGTATCTTCTACACATAGCTAGGAACCAGCTCTCCTGAAATAAACTCTGTAACTGGCTGCAGTTATAGGCATCAGATTTTTACTTCACCTTCATGATGCATTTCATGCTACCTGTTGAGTAGTCATAGAGCTTGTCTTTATTTTTTTAAGATTTTATTATTTGAGAGAGAGAGAGAGAGTGTGCAAGCAGGGGGAGGGGCAGAGGGAGAGGGAGAGAATCTCAAGCAGACTCCATGCTAAGCACGGAGCCTGATGCAGGGCTTGATCCCAGGACTCTGAGATCATGACCTGAGGCAAAACCAAGTCAGATGCTTAACTGACTGAGCCACCCAGGCACCCCAAGGCTATCTTACTTTCAACAGGAAAAGAGAATAGGGAGGTGTTCGAGCAGGTAGCATGGCATACCCACACAGCCAAAAGACCCAGAGGCTTGGGTCATAATGAACTCTTCAAACACTATTCTAGGTCACTCAAGCTGTCAGTCAGTCTTTCTCCCAGGAATTCACAACTGGGATTGAGAGGCTAGTAGGTCTAGTAGTAGAGTTGTTTGCTTAAATGGAAAAATGTGACCTCAGCAATCTATTCTGGGACCAAGATGCTAAATTAGTTTGACTCCTATCTCTCTTTGGCTCTTTTCCCCAGGATCAACCCCAGAGGAACATATATGGAAAATGAAAAAAAAAAAAAAAAGTGAGAACTGGGGTGATGACTGGGGAAAGGAAGAAGAAGGGATGGGGTGACTGTTTTAACCTGGTCCGTATGGAAATGGGTAGTTTGGGCGTGGACCAGAAGGCAGTCCATCATGGCTGTGGGAGAATAAACAAAAGGGGATTTGTTACTTTGGGTCTTGCTCCTCCCAGTGCCTTGGGCATCAGCTCCTGCCCCCACACTGGGGGGGGTTCACACGACTAGTTCCGATGTCCTCAAGAGTAAATGAGGGCAGTACAGAAGTCTTATGCCTGTGAGGAACTGACAAAAACAGGTGAGAACCAACCGATCTTGCCAGCCTTCACCTTCCACACAATCAGGATTAGGGAATGAGCATCTCAGAAGGAAGTGTCTCCTACGAAGACTCCTTCTCTCTGAGGGACAGAGGGGACGAAGATGTGACGGAAGAGCTGTTCTGCAGAATGCAAGGTGTTTAACTCTCGTTTTCAGGGGCCCAGGGATCTCTGCCTGACCCATCTTCCTGAGAGCATGGGGGCTGTTAAAGACTGGGATCTAACCTCCCCCCTTTCACACTGCCTGATGCACCAGAATAGTAAGAGTTGCAATGACAACAACTCCTCAAAGTAACAAGAATTTGAGGAACGTAACCATAAAACAAACGGATTATAGATTCAAACAGAAGAACAAAATATTAAACCAACAGACCAAGACCTATTAAAACATGTAAAAGTGATGAATAGTATGAACTATAACCAATATGAAACAAGAACAAGAAAATATTTAAGGAACTGAGCAAAAACTAGGGATCAAAATTATAATAGCTGAAATTAAGAATACAATAGATAACACAAAAGATGACTAACAGAACAGATACATTTGAGGAAAAATTAGCTAATTGGCATGCTAGTGTGAGGAAATCTACAAAGAACAAAGAAATAACAAATATAACAAAAGCTTCCAGAACAAAACAGAAGATAACCTGAATCAGCAGAGTTTTCGATAGCAACACCGGATAGAAAAATAAGACCATGGAATTGTATTTTCAAGATCAAAGGAGAATAAACCTAAGATTTTATATTCAACAAAACTGCCATTCATATACAAAGATATGGGTCTGAGGCATACAAAGTCTCAAAAGTTTTGCCTCACAAAAAACCCTCTGAAAACAGTTTTGGTTGAGATACTTAATAGAAGGACAGAAAAACCCAAAAGATGCTGCAAGAGATACACAGAGAAAAGGACTTTGATATATATATACTAAAGAAAAAAAAAAAAGCCAAGGCCAGGGGGCACCTGGCTGGCTCAGTTAATAGAACATGCAACTCTTGACTCGGGATTGTAAGTTTGAGCCCCAGGTTGGATGTAGAGATAACTTAAAAATAAAAAATAAAATAAAGCCAAGGCCAAAGAAAAAGGAAAAATTAATCAGTAATATCCCGGTCTGGGAGGGTATCTGGATATCAAATCTCTTAATTGAAAAAAAGAAAAGGATTAAAATAAAATGTGAAATGTTTCAAATAAAAATTGAAATAATATGCTGGCAGAAACAGATTAAGTAGAATAATTATAATACATGTAAATCCAACAAAATCTAGATATATACACTATTTCTAGACATACACCTAAAACATAAGGACATGCAAAGGTTGTAGAAGAATAAATATCAGAGACCAGCCATTTATTAACTAAGGAGATGTGATGCCATTATATTAAAATCAGATAACATAGGCTTTAAGGAACTTATTTTGGGGTGGCTAGATACACCCTGAAATAGTGAAAACCAGTGGCCAGTGAGAGAATATGGTAAGGTCAAAGGGTGGGGAGAGAGCCTAGGTTTTTGATGGCTCTCCAGACTCTGCGTCTAGTCCCTTGTCAAGCAGCCCTAACTTGCTGTCTTAAGTTCCCTAAGATACCTGGGTATTTTTCCATTCCTCTGTTTTCCTTATGCTGACTGAAGTGGATTTCTTCAAAGTTACTGCAACCAGAGGGACTGACTACAACAGTAGCCTCCGTGGTTGTTTCGTAAATGTTATGTAACTGAAGAGAAGCCGGGAGAAAGCAAGCAGCAGACTCACCATCGTCAGGTTTCTTCACAAATTTGACTCCCAGCTCTTCAAATCTTTTACAAGCACCATGTACATCAGGAACAGCGATTCCAATGTGACCTTAGGTGGCCACCCCCAAAACAAGGCAGACAGAAGGAAGAAATAATTACTGCAGGGTATCCAAGGGCCACAATTAGCTTCCAAAACTAGTTTATTTCAAAACATTAAGGCACCTGAAAAGTGACTGAATCAAGTAAGTTCAAAACTTGTATTAAAGAACAAGAATCTAAGTCTAACTGGCTGCGTATAATAAGCTAATTAGTAGCTCTGAGTTATAAATTATTTAAAATAAGCCCAATATTGGGCTCATGTATAGTTCAATCAGTTAAGAATAACTACCAAGAAAAAGTAATCATTTACTCATACTTAACAGGTTTGTTGTGGCCACTGACTATATAGCAGCCAATTTAAGCCTGCAATCCTGTCATCTTGATTGAGAGGTTCTAAATCAGGACAGAAGTGTATGCTAGCAGAAATGGGGGGTTATTATCAACCACAGCTTTTTTTTTTTTTAATTAAAAGGTCTACTGGAAATATAATACTGATACTGAAAAGTGAAATCATTGTAAGAGAGTAAATGTAGGGTTTAGATGGATACTATGACATTAACTCCTAAATCAAATTTTTCATGGAAAATTAAAACAGCTATACTCCTAAGAAGTTGATTATTCTTAATAAGTACCCAATGCACAAATCACACAAATCCATGTATACTACATAGGAACAGGCCAACATACCAAATCCTCGAGGGTCTGAGTTGCCACTGTGGTAACTCTGGGTCTCATCATCTTCCGTGCCCCAATTGCTACAAAAGGAGGGAAAAGAGCATTACAAGTGACCTGTAGAACAGATACTCTACAGCAATAATCTCTTTGAAATCTTGGCATGTATGTATGTAACTTCATATACTTGGTTTCATCTTTGCCACTGTAAAATTAAGGTTTCAACTATAGAAAAGGCAAATGCATAAAATATGATTTTAATTAGACTTAAGGAGATAAAACCAGGCATCTGGATAACAATAACGATAATAGTAGCAACTGTCATTTATTGTACTTTATAGAGGATATTTATTTGTTTGAGGATCTCATTAAATCTTCCAAACAGCTCCATGGGCTAAGATTCGAGTCTCCATTTCATGAAGGAGACTGCCACTATAAGGGGGTGACAGAACACGTTCAGGGTCACGGAGTTATCAGAGCCAACCCTCATGTCTAGGTCTGTCTAATTCCAGAGCTGTTCTGAATCAGGGACACACTAAAATCACACACCCTGCAATAAATGCTCTTTTGTTAGTTGTTCCAAAGGACACAGAAACAACATAAAGAATAAAAACAACATTCCTAAAATGCTGGAATTATGAAGACCTTAGTTCTAGTAGTGTCTAAATTCATTAGCTATTGTTTGGAGTTATCTGGCCAATTCTGTCTTACTTATATTCTCTATCCAAAAGATAATGATCTCACTTGCCCCCAACTATGCACCAGAACAGTACCAAAGACCAAAAATCCATCATAAAAGACTCAAGCTGGTACAAATGCAAAGTGATTAGGTAGACAATTAAGCTTGTAAGTAAGGAAAAAAGATTTATAAAAATGTAGACTGTACAGAAAGATAAAAACTGATACTCACTGTGTCAGTTCAAGGGTAGCTTTCCTGGAGAATACCCATGCTACTTTTTCATCTTTATCTTTTGGGATGTCATTTTTTTCCTCATAAGCCAAGAAATACAGTGAGAATTTCATAGTGGGAAAATCTAATTTTTGGAGTAGCCTGAAATTAAACAACAAGCTGTAATCAATTAACAACAGGAAAGGTTGTTTTATTAAAACATATTCATATTAAAATCAACATGACAATATTCAAGTTCTAAGAATATGAGCCTATTTACTAGGAAAAGCAGGGGGAAATTGGTGAAAATATCTCATTGAAAAAACCTATTCAACTGTAAATATCAGTTAAATAAAAAATTTTTACAAAACAAACTTATAATTCTTCAAACATAATGAAATTTAGCTGGAATTATGGTACTTGTTTATAAATGGCAAAAGTATCTTCAGAAGAAAATTCTGTCCATTTTTGGTGAAAAATACAATGCATTACCTTATTGTTCTTTCAGATATATGACATTCAGTTAAATAAAATATCATACTATGCCAAAACTCCTAGGAAAAGAAAGTGAGGATAGACAGATGAATATCCCAGAAGATGTGAATGTCAACGATACAGTGGTTAACCATATGAGATACCACAGAAAGGTTACATAGCATTAAGACTGTGAACAGGTGACTAGATATGGAAAGGTCCTCAGGGCAGTTTTAGCAGCATGGGGCAGCAGAAGGTGGACCACCCTGATGGAGACAAGGGGAGGTGAGCAAGCACGGTTGACCTATATAGACAATGGGTGATAATGGGAAAAAGGGCAAGAATTATGCTAGAATAAAGGTTTCAGCTTGTCTGTAGGTTGAGGGAAAAGAGCCAGTGGAAATGGAGAGACTGAGAAGAGACAAAGAGTGAATGAATTACCAATCCTAAAGTTTTAAAAAAAGATAGTTGAAGAGGTGCCTGGGTGGCTCAGTCAAGCGTCCAACTCTTGATTTCAGCTCAGGTCATGATCTCAGGGTCAGGAGATCGAGCCCTGCATGGGGCTCCACACTGGACATGGAGCCTGCTTAAGATTCTCTCTCTCTCCCTCTCCCTCTGCCCCTCCTCCCCCAAAATAGTTGAAGTCATGCCCTATAAAGTGAATTTAAATTATTTTGCAAAGAGTAGGGTAGAAATGAGGATGGACACAATACGGTTTTATTTAGATTATTGAGGACTAAATGCCAAAGATGACCTTATTCATAATAAGAGACTAGCTGAAGCCTACCTAGCAAATGGAAAGTTTCTCAGCTCTATTTCAGATCTTTTAACTATCACCGCTATGTAATACACCTTGGCCCACTGAGACCAGCACTGACTTACCACAAGTAAGATTTACCCTAACATGTTTATAATAAAGGATCGAACACCTCAAATACTCCAGCCATGAAAACCTATCTCTGCACCTACTAAAGCAGACTGCACAAGCCTTACATGCCAATCTGGTGGGAACTGGAGCAAATGAACCTGTTGTAACATGCTTTTCTCAGCGAGTGTTATCTTTCAGTATAATGTCAGGTTGTACCCTGTTTGGGGGCTCTTGAAAAACAAAGTCAACACTGGAGTCAATCAGATCCCAGTAACTTAATGTCTTTAAACTTTGGTTTCTTCCTTCATCTGTAAAATGGGGAATAAACCTATTTCATGAGCTACTGTGGAGACTGAATGAAAAATATGTAAGGTGCCTGGCAAATACCGAGTGTTCAATGTATTTGTTTTTTGGGTTTTTTTTTTAAGATTTTATTTATTCATTTGAGAGAGAGACACACAGCCAGAGAGGGAACATAAGCAGGGGGAGTGGGAGAGGGAGAAGCAGCCTTCCTGCCGAGCAGGGAGCCCAATGCAGGGCTCGATCCCAGGACCCTGGGATCATGACCTGAGCGGAAGGCAGTCGCTTAACAACTAAGCCACCCAGGTACCCCACAATGTATTTGTTTTCACTCTGTCTTTTAAATATGCTGTAAACATGTGCTAAACTGCTTTTTCTGGAAAAAACTGTAAGAAACTGTTAACAGCAGTTATCTTTGGGGACAAGGACTGGGAAAGGGAGGCGGCCACTTTTTATTTTGTATTTTTCTGAACTGGTCAGATTTTCTAAACAAACATATACTGTATTACTTGAATTTTTCTCTCAATGTCAATGGAGGTTATCCAGGCAGTCAATTTAAAATCACTTAATTTTGGGGCGCCTGGGTGGCTCAGTCATTGAGCGTCTGCCTTCGGCTCGGGTCAAGATCCCAGGGTCCTGGGATCGAGCCCTACATCGGGCTCCCTGCTCCGCGGGAAGCCTGCTTCTCCCTCTCCCACTCCCCCTGCTTGTGTTCGCTCTCTCGCTGTGTCTCTCTCTCTCTGTCAAATAAATAAATAAAATCTTAATAAATAAATAAATAAATAAATAAATAAATAAAATCATTTTATTCTTTATGTATCTATCTTGTCAGAAACAAACAAAACCCCCTCATGTTATTCAGGGAAACAAATAAAAAATAAACAAATATGCTTTAAGGATTATAAGATCAGTGGATAGCACCTGTTCAGCAAAAGAGAATACACCCTATAAAAAATGAGACAGATGGCCAATTTCAGGTAAACTCATTCATTTTCTAAGTAATACATCTTTATAACTGTATCTTTTCCAAAGTAAAGAAGAGGACATAACATTAAAAGGATTTGAACACATTAAGGATTAAACAGCTCTGAGAGAGAAGGGAGGAAGAGAACACCCAAGTGCTCAGCCAGCGAGCCTTAATCCCAGATGCTGGGCCAAAAGGACTTCTGTGATTTTTGAAGAAAAGTTTAATCCATTTTTTAAATGGATCCGGAAACATTCCCTATATTTGCAAAGCTATGCGTTTAACCATTACAGGCACCAATAAATAGTTTACTTACGTCATTCCAAGAACTCTAGTATAAAAATCCAATGACTTCTTAGGATCCTTAATTCGTAGCATGGTCTGCTGCAACAGAAAATCCTAAGGAGAAACAGTGCCTATTAAACAGATGTGATGTCTGCCACTTGTTAGCAACATTAATTGTGCTTTCTATTGCAGGATATGGTCAGCCTTTGTAACACAATGTTTCAGAAGAAAGCAACTTTGTCCCCTCAGCCTTACCTGGCCCCCACACCTACCACTTACACTGCCTACAGCTGCTGTCTGCCCAAGGATGTTTCCTAGTCACAGGAGCAGGCCCCGGTGTGGGGCAGGCCCAAAGTGCCAGGGAGTTCACACCCTCCAAATGACCCTCAACCAACAGTGGATAAAAAACCTGGCTCCCCTGGCCCTTAGTGGGACAATTCTACAGCATGTTCCACACAGTCTCTCAGAGACTTCCCTGCAGGATTAAAGCCCAGTTGCTCTCAGGGGTAATCCACTTCTACATACTTTTTATTGCCTCCATTCCCCACTCCACAGAACTTTCTCTGACTACCTCCCAAATAAACTACTTACAACCAAATCCTTATATCCAGTCCGCTTTTGGATGACCCAAAATGAGATAGTGATGTTACAAATAAAGAATACAACGTACTGTAAAATGTGTTAAATGAATGCATAAATGCCTTTCCAGAACTATTTATTGGTAACCCTAGCAAGAAGTTACTCACAAGATCCTAGACTCTAAATAACTAAAAGGGTAAGAAGTTACCGTCTCTAAAACCATTGTGAAACTGTCCAATTCACAAATCAGGAAACAAAAGGCTTGACTTCACTGAGAAAAAGGTAGACTATTTCAATTCATGGAGTTAAGATTCTTAATGGCACTGGTAATAATACTTTGCCTTCATTCGGTACAGTAACCATGAAGTATTATTATCTACAGGTATTAATGGCCCCATTTTATAGATCACCCAAGGTGATTAAATTGTCCCAGCCTTCTGATTCTAAGTTCAGGTCTCTTTCTACCATAGATGCCTTCCAAACCATGAGTCCATTAACTACATTTATGCTTCCTAACAGATTTTTTTCCTGTTATACCCACAGGTTGACAAAACAGGCCTGAAAATTCTGAACTCTCCCTTTGCAGACACATAGACATCTCTCCCCTATAACTCATATCATATAAAATACAAATGTATTTTTACTCATTCAGCATCATTAGGAAGTGTTTTTCTATTTTGTTAATTTTTTTTAAGATTTTATTTATTTATTTATCAGAGAGAGAGAGAGAGAAAGCACAAGCAGGGGAAGCAGCAGGAAGAGGGAGAAGCAGGCTCCCCGCTCAGCAAGGAGCCCGATGCGGGACTCGATCCCAGGACTCTGGGATCATGACCTGAGCCGAAGGCAGACGCTTAACGAACTGCGCCACCCAGGCATCCCTATTTTGTTAAATTTTTAAGTGACCAAAATGAACTCTTAAGCATTAAAATCCTCATTTAAAACAAAACTAGCCTAAGAACTACTTTATCTTAATAAGTAGATCTTAATGAATATAATAATTTGATTCTTCATTCACAGCTTATCATCACATATAAGGCAGTTGGCTTGGAAATTATGTTTCTAGAATGCTTGGATTGCTTTCCTCTGGCAGGTGCTGAACTCCTAAAGGTCTCAGTTTCAGCAAGCAGCTGAAAAAGGGAAAATCAGTTCCTGACATCCAGGTAGTGGCCTGGAGCTCACAACGAGGCCTTGGTTTTCCCCACTGGACAAAACTGGAAAAAAACGTACAAAGTCACTCTGTGATTGCAATGAAGGGAGATCAAAATGCAGCAAAAAAACAATTCCACTTCATATTCTTGTTTAGCACAGATTAAAACAAGACACTGTTTGAACTTTGGTCAGGTAGGTGGAATCTATACACACAGGTTTACCAAATGATTAAAACTATCCGAAAAATATTTACTGTTGCATACACAAAACTTCAGCTATGTACCTATCTGCTTTTAAAAACGTGCGGAATTTACTTATTTTGATGACTTGGGGACATTTCTATAAACATGGATTGTCGTCTTACAATGTAATATAGGAGTTCCTATATTATTTACATTCACTACTACTTGTCCCTGTATTGAGATGGTCCCTGGAACTCCTGTTTTTATTTTACTCTTTTAATGAGTTTTTTTGTCCCCTCACTCACCATTAAGCTATTAGTTGTCAATTCTATCAGCACAAAACTGTCCTTTTTTGGACACAAGAAAGCTAATTTCCCTAAATTCTTTGACTCTACACTTCTCACCACCTCTGCTAGCACCCTGATCCCAGCTACCCCACCTCCCACCCAGTCTGGTTGGTACGCCTCTCTCACCTTGTCCCTTACAATCTATTCTTGGGGAAATCTTTTAAAGTTATTTCAGATCACTCTTCTGCTCAAAAACCCTGGAAGGCTCCCCATTTCACTCAGAGTCAAAGCCGAAGTCCCTACAATGGCCCTCTATGGTTGGCCCCCATTAGCTCGCTCACCCCTCCTCTCGCCTACTCACTCAGCTCCACTGCAGTCTTCAGCAATTCACTAAGGGCCTCTGCTAGAAGGCTCTTTGCCCAGAGCCACTTTTTTTCTTTTTAATCTTTATTTAGAAGTAGGCTCCACACCCAATGTGAGGCTTGAACTCATGACCCTGAGATCAAGAGTTGCAGGCTCTACCGACTGAGCCAGCCAGGCGCCCCTCCCCAAGAGCCACTTCTAAACTTTTTAACTTTGCTCAAATGTCATCTTCCCAATGAGGCCTTCACTAACCACCATAACTCTTCACTTACCCCTTTTCTTCATTTTCTTTTTCCATAGTACTTGTCACCTTTCAATATGCTATTTACTGTATTTATCTTTCATTATTTTTCTTTCCCTATTAGCATATAAACTCCATTAGGACAGGGGTGTTTGTTTTGTTTACTGATGCACCTCAGAACAGAATCTGGCACAGAGTAGATACCCAATGAATATTTGTTGAATGAGTAAATGAACTTTCACTATGATTTTTCTTTCCAATCAAGCTGCATTCAACATTACTGCAAAAAAAAAAAATCATTAAACTTACATAATAACTGCATGCCAGACACTGCTCCAAATGATTTACAGAAATCAACTCGTACATTCTTCACAACAACCCTATGAGATATGTATCATTACCACCCCCATTTTACTGCTGAGAGAGTGTAAGAGAAAAAGCAGTTTGGTTCCAAAGTCCTTGCTTTCAACCACCTTGGCTAAACTGCCTCTAACAATGAAGAAATAGATAAATAATGACACAGGCATAATAGAGTATTTTGAATACATTTAAAATGCTGCTTTAGAGGTATATTAAATGGCAGGGGGCATTCACATGGTATATTAAGTTTAAAAAGATATATATGTATGGTTTATTTAATATGCTATTCAGATTAATTATATCTTAAAAGTAATGCTAAGCCTTTAATTTTATTATCTACAATAACATAGCTACATACTAAAACTACATATATATGAATGAATATTAAAATGAACCTTTAAAAGTCTATACATAGTGGGGCACCTGGGTGGCTCAGTCTGTTAAGCATCTGACTTCGGCTCAGGTCATGATCCCAGAGTCCTGGGATCGAGCCCCGCATCGGGCTCCCTGCTCAGTGGGGAGTCTGCTTCTCCCTCCCCCTCTGCTGCTCCCCCTGCCTGTGCTCTCTGTCAAAGAAATAAATAAAATCTTTAAAAAAAAGCCTATACATAGTTAACAATACTGTATTGTATGTATACTTGAGAGTTAAAAGAGCAGATTTTTTAAGACAGCAGAACCTAAAAGCTGTCAGCACATACACATAAGAAAGTAACTATGTAAGGTGATCAACACATTTACTAACCTTACTGTGGTAGTCATTTTGCAGTATATGTGTAACAAATCAACACGTTGTACACCCTAAACTTATACATTGTTATGTGTTGATTATATCTCAATAAAGCTGGAAAAATAGTTTAAAAAAAAAAAGAAAAAATTGGGGCGCCTGGGTGGCTCAGTCATTAAGCGTCTGCCTTCAGCTCATGTCATGATCCCAGGGTCCTGGGATTGAGCCCCACATCGGGCTCCCTGCTCTGTGGGAAGCCTGCTTCTCCCTCTCCCACTCCCCCTGCTTGTGTTCCCTCTCTCGCTGTGTCTCTGTCAAATAAATAAATAAAATCTTTAAAAAGAGAGAAAAAAATGGAAAATACAGCACTGTTCCAACTGAGAAGACTCAATATAATAAACACATTATTTCCAAGTAAATGTATAGATGAAATACACACTCTAGGGGCGCCTGGGTGGCTCAGTCGGTTAAGCGTCTGCCTTCAGCTCAGGTCATGATCCCAGCGTCCTGGAATGGAGCCCCATGTCAAGCCCCATGTCGGGCTCCCTGCTCAGCGGGGAGTCTGCTTCTCCCTCTGCTGCTCCCCCTGCTTGTGCGCACACTTGTGCTCGCTCTGTCAATAAATAAAATCTTTAAAAAAAAATAGACTCTAATCCTATTTTTAACCTTAAAATAAGTCTATACCTGGCAAAAAAAATTAAAGGTATATTCGATATTAGTGGATTTATTCATAAAAAAACAGGTTTATAAATCCTTTGCTACAAAAATGTTATTTGGATATAAAGAAACAAGCAGGGCTTGCTTTTTATAAAATGCTCAAGTTATTCTATGCTAATAGTTTGCTTTTTATCACCAACATATTCTGTCAACTCTCTGTACTTCTGGTAAACACCTGAAAGATCCTTCCTCAAAAACCCCTAAAAATGACTATTTATTGCTATGGTTCTAAAATATTGTTTAAAATAAATATATCTTGTGTTTAAAAAAGTAGGACTTACATTCATGTCCTATCTCATCAGACAATTCTTAACTTTGTCTTTCCCTTATCATGCTTTAAATTTAGACAATGAAAGCTGTCTTTTATGCCTAAAACTATCTTTGGGTTTTCTGGGATGGCTACTAGGTAACAAAGATTTGCTCCTTTGCTTTATAAAAAGAGTAATATAAATAATCAGGCTTTAGGAGAGCATTGTCCAAATTTAATTAGCTCAAAACTACTTTGATAAAAC